TTTAACTTTCTTTTGATATAATAATAAAAACAATTACTGACATCAAGTTAAAATTAGTTGTAAAACAAATTACAAGTATTTCATTATTTATCTCAGGAAAGGAATAATAAATAATCCTTTTCCGGCTAAAAAGTAAAATCTCTAAACTCTTTAAAACTTCTAAATAATATTAATTATCAACGACTAATGCAAAACAAGTTATAATTTCGATGAAATAAATTAAATATTTCATATTTTTTACATTTAAATTTTTATATTTTTTATATTATATATTTCGGTCAGAAATATATACCTAACTTATTTTTTCAAATTTTTGAAAAGTTAAGTGAAGTTTTGAAAAGTTAACTTTTTATGGGATGGAAAATTTGGACAAAATCAGTAAATTAGCATTATTTAGTAAAAAACGATGTCATAAAACGATGTCATAAAATCGAACAAAATCATATCCAAGTTTTGGTATGTAAACTATGCATATTTATTGAGCTGGATGCAAATTAGAAGAGATTATGCATCATTTTATATTTTATATAACAAAGTACATATGCTTTTCTTAACATATTTACCTTGAAGAAATAAGAGCATAATCAGAGTTTATGTTGCAACAGATTCTCCTATTCCAGGATATATTAAAACTTTTCCTGCATCCATAAACGTAAAAAATAAACCCTTCTGACATTAACTCAACATTACGAAAGTTCTGAAACAACTTACAAGCTATTCATCATAAAGTCTTGTAATGAATAATAATCCTTCTTCGACTACATAAGAAAGAGCAATGTTGAAAATGGAAAATGTTATATCATCTTGTTGTTTAATTACTTTAAAACTTGTGATTCCAAATAACATTACGCGTTGTGTTTTGAACATAGGGGCTGAAACTTTGTAAATACTGCCACTCGAGAGTTGATGATAATTCAGCTCACGTCTATTTTTTGTTATTTTGATCTCGACATTTGCGGCTGCTAAAAGCAGCATTAACTTTTCCATAACTTTTAATAACGCCCAAAGAGTGCTTTACAGGTTGCATACGATATTAACTTGTCGCGACGGGATGTTGGAAAATATTTTCTCAAGGTAAAGGTAAATTTTCAAGCGATTTTTCTTTGCTTCTGGCAAAGCATTCAAGTTTAATCGTACTTCAATTCCATGACTACGCTTGTAAATAAATGTGTAGTAAAGTACATAAAAGTTTGCTGCTAATATTTTTTTTAATATTATTATTTTACTAGTTTTTAACCATACGTGATGAATTGTGAAAAGTCACCAATAGTAGTTTAATATTGAAACAAAAATCAATATTCATTTATAACTATTAAATATTTTTTATTGAGCCTATTTTTTATTTTTTACTACTTGATTTTTTTTAAAAAAAAAGTTAATTTAATAAAAGATGTATTTTTTCGAACCAAATTTAATAGTTTTTTTGAAAATAACATGATTTTAACAAAAAATAAATATGGATGAGAGTAACAATACCCTAAGATTGTTTTAACCTCTGTTAATACTAATTTATTGCAACAAATAGTCGCAAATAGTTTATAAAGCTTTAGAATTATTTTACATTGACCGTTTAATAGTATTCATAATTTATGGTAAAACTAATATAATCTTAAGAAACTATTTTTATAAAATATAGTAAAAACTCTTTTATTAAAAGAAATAAATTTTCTTATTCGTATTACATAATAAATACAAAATTTCTATCTAATTAATGCGGTTATTAACCCTCCGTCGGTGAGCGTGGTCTGGCCAGACTTTTTTCGACATCAATTAAAAAAATAAAATATTTCTAGTAATTCTATCGACTTGAAATTTCTTGACTTTTCCTAAAATTTCATTAGCTGTCGATCAATGAAAAAATCAGGACGAAAAAATGTACAGAAGGATAATTATAAGGATATTAACTTTTTTATACTTCGAACGGTCGGAAAGGTCTGTCTAGACCACCCATACATTTTGTATGAAATATACGCTTTTTGATATATGTAAACCAGTATTTTGTCCTTTTTCATGGTATTTTCTATTCAAACTGCGTTGTATATATTCTTTGCTATGTGTTGTAACATAAATGTTAGTATTTTCATGACGAGAGTTCCTGGAAAACCTATCAAACTTATTGGTAATCACAAACAATGAAAATCGGATGAGTAATGAGCACATTATCAACAATTTTTCTACCCGTAGTACTGCATTCGAAATTTTTTTTGGCAAACCTGTAGTGAAATTATATTTTCAACTTGAATTTTACAGCTTATTTCAAAGGCGACGCACCTCATTTCGTTTTCATTTGAATTTCACATTCATTTTGAAGGAGCCGAAAAAGAATAAATATTGTTTTTCATTGATATAAAACAGACAAATAAAAATAATAAAAAAGCAACATTTTTTTTATATTCTTTGATTTTTTTTTATATAATATAATATATATTTTTTTATTATAAGCAAGCTCAACACATGCAAAAGACGGCACGAAATAGAAAAAATCAAAACTATAAATATTTACTACTAATAATCGTTAACATATAAGACATCAAAAACTCATTTATCCCATATAAATGCATGTAAAATGAATGGTGGTCCAGCCAGACCTTTCCGACCGTTCGAAGGTGAAAAAATATCCGACCGACGGAGGGTTAAATAAGATCATTCGAACTGTAAGAAAACTTATAGTTCTTGCTCGAATTTAAAAAACTGAAAATCAAAGCTATTACTAAAAAATGAAAATGAAATTTAGAAAACTAAATTAAAATTTTGATATTCCTTTTCAGAAATATTGTACAGATGTGATGAAAGTGTAAGTTTAATTGTAGAAAATCATTGTAATTGCATGACTAGCAAAAACTTATCTTCTAACAAAAAGGACTACTTTAATTAAGGTTCCTAATGCGTGAAATGCAAACTCACTCTGAATAACGTATCTAGAAATTAAATTAGTACTTAGTTATTTACTAAAATCCTAATTGATCGTTCACAAAATTCTCTAAAATATTCCAAGGTTGAATGTAATTTTCTTCCAAATTCAGTTTATTACAATTGCGAATAAGACGATCGGAAAATTCGTTTTTACATTTCCAACTGTTAATAACTTTACGTTAATTATAAGAATAAAATAATCAAAGATGACAGTATGAAGATTTATGTATTTATTTAATAATTCCCAAGCAAGCAAAAATCAATAAGGATAAATATTATTTCAGGCTCTTGACAATCAAAAATATAAGGACTTGTATATAAAATTGAAATAGAATAAAGCAAAAAAATGAAAATAGAAAAATTTAAAAGCAGAAAACCAAGCACAATATAAATTCTATTTTATTACTTTTATTGGTCTATGTCTGTAAAGTATATTAAGTAAATTATTTTGAACACAGCTTTCAATCTAAAGAAAAGGATAAAAATAATCGTTAGGAAAAGAAATATATATTAAAAACTAGAGCAGCAAGGAACAGAAAGCATTATCTCCAGACCATTTTACATGTGAGAAAAAACCACCTGTGAATCTGCTGGATAACGTACATAATTTATGTCTTAGAATAAAATGAAAAAATACATCATCCTTATCATTTTTCGGCCGTAAAACCTATAAAAAATATCGATTCGGGTCATATACAAGAAAAAGCAATAAAGCAAACAAGATAGGGCTATTTGCTTGAGATTTTCTCGCCCCAATAAAAACATTCGACTATTTTATATGAAAACTTTTATAGTTGCCGAGCATAATACTTTGTACAACAAGCAACGTGAAATCGTGCAATAAAATAAGCAATTTTACAGTCTACTTGCGTTCTTCTTAATTTTCATGATAGTCGTTAAATTTTTACGTATTTTGTTTTTTACTGCAATGTTGAAGACAATTGTGGCATGAATTGCACTGCTCACAATAAAGCTTGTCTATAAGAGAAAAACATGAAGGTTCATTGTAAACCAAAAGTCTAGACGTCTACGAAAAATAGGTACGGGATATGATATGAATAAGGCGGCATCAGCGACGCAAGCACATTTGGAGAGCTTACAGAAACATTGGGAAAGAGTTTTCTCATTTTTAGTATATTTGAAGCAATGGGTGAAACATATAAATATTTGTTAACACAAAAAGTTTTAATATATCCCTCTTTAGGATTTTTATGTTCTCCACACGCATTACTGTTTTGAAAATCATTTATATTTTAATTTTCTACAAATAAAATTTTAATTTGAAATAATGCAATTTTGTACTACAGCAATTTTCACTACCATATCTGAGACTACTGTTGTCAGAACTAGATAAAAGCTAGATATATTTTATTATTTTTTTGTTATTTTTTTACTCGTGTTAAATATTCATATTAACAGTAGCGCCATCTAGTTCTTTACTATGTACTAAGTGAATATTTTTTAGGTTTTATATATTGGTACCATTGTAAAATTATCCTAGATTCTTTTTATATCCGTTTTTAGGATTCATTCTGATTTGAGCCTTGTGAGAATAAAGTAGTAAGTTTGATAGTAAATATGTGTTTCCTTTTTTAAGTGTTTGATATTTCCTAAACCTTTTACATTGGTCCTTACCGACGGTGTTAAAATAAAAATAATCAGTGCCAAACTACAGTCCACATACCAGAAGAGAAAGGAGCTTTTCGCTATCATAAACAAAAACACACAGGCCGATTGCAGCAACTACCAAGAGGACGACGCAGAGATTGGATAGCAAAACCACGAGGTATTTATAAACCATCTTGAGCATTTTTAAAACTTATGTATGTTTAATAATAGCGTAGGGGATAGGTAAAACAATACTCGGGTTATATAGCATTCATAACACGTGGTCATAATTCGGGTATATAGCACAGAATCAATTAATAGAGTACATTCAAGGTGATATTTATTTGGTTAGTTTTAATAGCAACCAATTGAAAATATTGGACGAAGTCTCTTACATTTATATATAACATAAAAAGTGATATTTTGGGTCAGTTTATTGGCGGCCAGCAAAAATAGCACGAAGAAGCTAATTTAACAAAATGGAGGTCGAAGCTTTGATGATTCAAAGGGCGGAATGCAAATCCTTAATGCTTATGATTCAAAAATATGTAATGAATTTCAAAACCGGTGATAATGTTATAGGGCTAGTACATCGTAAAGAAAAATTAATAGATAATTTTAAACATCTTGAGAAAAACAACAAGAAACTAAATACGTTACAGCCAGGGCAACATGCCGAGGAATACGAAATTTTATTCAATTTACACTTTGACATTTTGGCGAGCATAGAAGAGCACTTAGGGACCACAGCAATTAAAGAAGAAAAGAGTACAAAAATGACGAATAATATTAAGTTACCAGATGTTGTACTACCTAAGTTCAACGGAGACTACATCATGTGGAATGAATTTAAGGATATCTATGAATCCTTGATCCATAGTAACGACAGCCTTTCGAATGTACAGAAATTGCATTACTTAAAAGGGACTCTTGTACCACCAGCATCCAACCTAATCAGCAATCTATCAATGACTAATAATAACTACTCCATAGCGTATGACATATTGCTTCAAAGATACAACAATAAATTTGTTATAATAAATTCGCATCTACAAGCATTGCAAGATATACCTCAATGCACCAAAGGTTCGTACGAGAATTTGAGGACATTTTTAAACCAGGCACGGCAGCAAACACAGGCATTAGCTACAATCCATGAAGACACTAAGCACTGGGATTTGATGATCATATTCAATTTATGCAGCAAATTGGATCACGGAACGAGATTAGCTTGGGGTTTGGCTCGAGAAATGGGTGAACTGCCATCACTATTCCAATTCTACACCTTTTTAGAGAACCGGGCAAGTGCTTTGGAAACTGCAGCTAAATCAAGTAACACTGAAAGTACTGGAAGCAAAAACAAAATCATTAATGTTGTCACTCAAAAACCGAACAAATCAAAAATATGTGTCTTTTGTCATCAAAATCATCTTTTATATTCATGTTTTAAATTTAAAAGGAACAGCCTAGCAAAGAAAAAAGACTTCCTGAAGAGCTCAAATTATTGTGAACGATGCCTGGAACCAGCACATCCATTGAAGCCATGTAAATACAAATTACCGTGCAAAATTTGTGACAGGGATCACCATACATCGTTACACGTGGAACAAGCAGCTGAGACTCCGGAGAAGGAAAGCACTGCCAGTGTTATGTTTTCGCAGCAAGACAACACAACTAGTGTACTGCTAGCTACAATTGCAATTTCGGTTATGGATGCACAAAATAGAACACACATTGTACGGGCTCTGCTAGACAGCGGATCACAAGTAAATTTAATAACGAGGGATCTAGCGGACAAATTAGCTCTACCTTTGAAAGGTAATCTAAATACATTAAAGGTACTACAAGGAGGATCATTAACTAGTTATAACACTATGGCAGTAGAAATTAAATCCAATATATCTGCATTTTCAAGAAGGATCAACTGCATAGTAATGGAAAACATAACAAGTGATCTACCGACATCGAAAATAAATATTGAAAATTGGAAAATTCCCAAAGGAGTGCTTTTAGCTGATCCAATGTTTGCAAGTCCTGGTCCAATTCAAATGTTAATTGGAGCCGAACTATTCTTTGAAATTTTGCAGAAAGATGTAATTAGATTAGGACACAACTTACCAATTTTAAGAAACAGCTTGTTTGGATGGGTACTATCTGGTGCATACAAGGAACAAACAAATTCAAATTATGTTGGATTTGTATCAAATGTACAACTGCATGAAGCCATCACCAAGTTCTGGAATTTGGAAGAAGTGTTAGAACCAACAATCCATGGGTCAGAGAAGGTATGTGAAGAATACTTCTCAAAGACTGTCAATCGTACAAAAAGTGGGAGATACATAGTGTCATTGCCATTTAAACAGGACAAAAAAAATGAATTAGGAGATTCTTTACAGATCGCAACATCTCGCCTTTTAAACCTAGAAAAACGGTTTAAAAGAAATGAAGACTTAAAAATAGCCTATTCAGAATTTATGAACGAATATTTAAAATTAGGACATGCAGTACCGGTACCAATAGCAGAACTTAATAATCCACATTATTATTTGCCACACCACCCAGTTATTAAGCAATGGGGCTCAACAAAGTTACGAGTTGTTTTTGATGCTGCTGCAAAAAGTTCAACGGGGGTTTCACTGAATGATACACTGCATACTGGACCAAAACTGCAGCAAGAACTATTATCTATTTTAATCAGATTTCGCTGTTGGAAGCACGTTTTTATAAGCGATATTGTAAAGATGTACAGACAAATAAAAATGGAAAAGAGCGATCAAGATTTTCAAAGAATTGTATGGAGGAAGTCACCACAGGAGGATATACAACATTACAAACTCACTACGGTCACGTATGGTACTTCATCAGCTCCATACCTAGCAATTCGCTGTTTAAACCAACTAGCAGAAGATGAAAATCTACCAATAGCAGCCGAAACTGTGAAGAAAGATTGTTATGTTGACGATGTCATAAGTGGGGCCAACACAAAGCTAGAGGTACTCGATAAGGCAAAGCAACTTACAGAACTACTAAGCAGAGGCGGTTTCACTCTCCACAAATGGGCCAGCAACTGCAAAGAATTACTTGAAATGCTCTCACAACAGAAAGGAGAATGCAATGAGACATTCTTTTCAGACGGTTTAGGGGTTGTTAAAGCTCTTGGCTTAATATGGAAGCCAGATGAAGATGTATTTAAAATAACAACACCAGAACAATTGTCATCAGTTTATACTAAAAGAAATATTTTATCATCCATTGCACAAATATTCGATCCATTGGGATTAATTGCACCCATTGTGGTGAGAGCTAAAATGATAATGCAAAATATTTGGAAAGAAAAGACAGAATGGGACGATAAGGTCTCTACAGAAGTCGTTGAACAATGGAAATCATTTCATCAAGAATTACCTATATTAAATGAACTATATATTCCAAGATATATTTTGAATATAAAAGGAGAGTTAAAAGATTTACAGTGCCATGGGTTTGCGGATGCTTCGATGGCAGCATATGGGGCATGTATATATGTGAGAAGTACGTACCCTGATAAGACTCTTGTGAATTTACTATGTGCTAAATCTAAGGTAGCACCAATCAAAAACAGCACTTTACCACGACTAGAATTATGCGCAGCAGTGTTATTAGCAAGACTCTATAAACATGTATGTGATGTAATAAACATTAAATTCACTAGCTCGCATCTATGGAGTGACTCTACAATAGTGCTGGCATGGTTAAACACCGACAGCAGCAGCTTGAAAATGTTCGTAGGAAACAGGGTGGCTGAAATCCAAGAGATCACATCAGGAGCAAAGTGGAATCAAGTGGCATCTCCAGATAATCCGGCAGATTTAGTATCTAGAGGAATGACGGTTCAGGAGATCACACAATCCAAATTATGGTGGAATGGGCCCTCATGGCTCTCACCACAAGATAGTAATTGGCCAGTAACGGAAGTAGTAAAAACATCTCCAATTCCAGAGCAAAAGGCAGTACTTCACATTAATACATGCACAACTAACCCAGAATTTGCAACAATATACACAAAATTTTCTAAATTTCATAAACTAATGCGTGTTGTAGCTTATTGCCTCAGAATAAGAAAGAAATATAAAAGACTGCGTTCCCTGGATAATATTACAGCACTAACTGTTGCAGAGTTAGAAAACGCTCAGCAGATAATAATTAGAGAAACACAACAAGAAGTTTACAGGAGCGTCGTTGAAGAACTAAGGAGCAAGGGTAGCTCAGAGTTTAAGACAGCTCAAGAGCTGAAACCATTAAATCCATTTGTTGATGCGGAAGGACTTCTGCGAGTAGGTGGTAGATTGGAGAACTCACAGTTACCATACTCGCAAAAACATCCAATAATTCTTCCAAGGAGACATTACATAACACGACTGCTGTTGCGACAGGAGCATGTAAGATTATTACATGCTGGTACTCAAGCCATCTTGATTAACATACGGCAAAAATACTGGCCTATAAATGGAAGAAACATCATCAAAGGAATAATCAAAGAGTGCACAATATGTAGGCGCTTTCAAGCAGCACAAAGTCAACAGCTAATGGGATCGTTACCTGTTGATCGAGTGACAAGTAAAAGACCGTTTCTTGCTGTAGGTGTGGATTATGCTGGTCCCATTGAGTTGAGAGCAAGCCGACTGCGCAAAGCACCAAGAATAAAAGCATACATAGTGGTATACATTTGCATGTCCACTAAAGCAGTACACTTGGACTTAGTCACGGAATTATCAACTGCAGCCTTTTTGGATTCATTGAAACGCTTCGTGTCACGAAGAGGTGTGTGCCAAACCATATACAGTGATAATGGAACCAACTTCGTAGGCGCCAGTAATGAATTAGATAGACTCTATAAGTATTTTAAAAATAATATTAATAAGAAAGAACTCATTGAGAGTGTGTCAACCATTGGAATAACATGGAAATTTATACCGTCACATGCACCCCATTTTGGAGGACTATGGGAACGGAACATTAGAACAATGAAGCATCATTTAAATAGGGTTATTGGTTCAACCTGTTTAACTTATGAAGACTATTTAACTTTCTTGAATCAAGTAGAAGCCATAATGAATTCAAGACCCATTATCCCATTAAATGATGATAGCACCGATTCTGTGTTTTTAACCCCTAGTCACTTTCTTATAGGTGATATTATGACTGCTATTCCTGAACCCGTAGTAGATAGTACTGCCCTAAAAAATAAATTAAACATACATAGACAGCTAAATGCGATGAGAGATAGGTTTTGGACCAGAAGCGGGCAAAATGGACAGCATCCTTGGACAACCTAGCAGTTGATATGGTAGTCCTAATAAAAGAGGACCATGTCGCACCATTACACTGGCCAGCAGGTCGGATAGTCAGCGTCACGAAGGGCAAAGATGGCAAGGTTCGAGTGGCCACTGTCAAAACCACTCAAGGATTATATGTGCGACCTATTGTGAAATTGATACCTTTAATTGATATAGACAATAATTAAGTGTGTGAATTTAGCTTAGAAATGAAATGAGATATTTAAGACTAATTTTTTTTAAAACCAATAAATAAATTTAACATTAGAATTAGGTTAAGTTTACTCAGTATTGAGGTTTAGTAAATTGTGTCAATATGATAAAATATAAAATTCATATTATACTTAACTGTCAAATGAAATACCTAGCACTAAGTTTGTATATATATCTTAGTCTAAATGAATGTAACTAAAAATGTCTTATTATTATTTGCTTGTGACATTGTATAACTTGACATGTAACATGTAACATAATGTCATTCTTTGCGCCCGCAGGATGTTAAATATTCATATTAACAGTAGCGCCATCTAGTTCTTTACTATGTACTAAGTGAATATTTTTTAGGTTTTATATATTGGTACCATTGTAAAATTATCCTAGATTCTTTTTATATCCGTTTTTAGGATTCATTCTGATTTGAGCCTTGTGAGAATAAAGTAGTAAGTTTGATAGTAAATATGTGTTTCCTTTTTTAAGTGTTTGATATTTCCTAAACCATTTACAACTCGTTTAGTATGAAACTAACAAGCATTAAACTATTTTGCACACAAACATTTAATGAAACTTGCCAAGACTTTTATAAAGAACGGCCTTTCAAAGTCTATTTATTTCGAAAATTTTTAATTTACAGTTTAAGAAATAGTCTTAATACTCGAAATCTTGGGGCAATCGTTTCATTATTTTTGATTATGGTCCTAGAAATAGAGAGGTAAAGTCACCGCAAAATGCCACATCTTTACTATTATAGCTCTAGGTTGTACTAATAATTCTTAACGACATGTAATTTTTTTTATCATAGATACAAACGATTTTGTAATACCGATTCGGCTAGACGTTAAGTTCTGGGACACACTATGAATATGTAATAAAGATTAATTTTGAAAATAAGAACACTGTACACTCTTATGTCCATCACTTTATTATAGAATACATCCGTTTTCAAATTGATATTTGTTTCATTGCCAGTACAAAAAATAACTAATAATATTAAAACAAATTCTAAACTAGTGGTGTGTATGGCATCGTGCCTTAAGGCAAATTTCTGGTACTTCCCGTACCCTAACAAAATGTTCGAGGAATATTATATGTTTTCAAATGAATTTTTATAAATACTGTAATATTTTCTAATATTTATAAGAATTATATAAAATGAATTGCAAAGTTGAAAATATTTGTTAAAAGTATATTAGAAACTTAAGTCAGAATGACAAAATCTGAATTATATTCGATATACAAAAAAAATATTTAAAAAAAATTGAAATAAATTTTTTTTCCAAAAGCAATTATTTAGTTAAAATAAGCAGAAAGTTATCTGAATCATTCAAATTGGACGCTTAGTTCTCTCAGAAACAGCCATTTTTAGCACATTTAGCTCTGTATCTCCAAAACGGCTGGACCTGCCTTTGCTAAAAACTAATCACCTCTTCTCTCAATCATTTCAAATTGAATGTTTTTTGGATCATTCAAATCGGATGCTCGGAACTCTCAAAAACTCGATTTCTATTTTCTGCATTCTTTGCTCCGTATCTACGAAACGGCTGGACCTGCCTTTGCTAAAAACTAATCAGCACATCTCCCTATCAATAGGAATTAAATGTATTTTGAACCATTCAAATCGGTTGATCCGTGCGCCCGAAAACGCGACGACAAAGTGGACGACAAATACACACACACATCCATTTTTTCTTAGGTATGCCAAAATGTTCAGAAACCTTCAAAACATGAAGAAATGTAAAAATTTTCATTTTCGATTTTTGGACGGTTACAATAACTTATCCTACGGTAAGTTAATAATTAATTAATTTCAGGTACAGTTTTGAAGGTACGAGTCAAAAAGTGTAAAAACGCCAATTCAGGTTGTTAGAGAACGAAGCATCCGATTTGAATGATTCAAAAACCAATTCATTTGGTCATTAAAGGAAACATGGAAAGTAGGTCCATCGGTTTTGGAGATCCAATAAAAAAACGTTTTAAGAATGATCACTAGGCAGAGGCACATCAAATCATCAGATGTTTTATAGAGATTTTAATAATAAGTAAAATTTTTGTTCACATTTTTAAAGATTTATTAGATACTCCAATATTTATAATGTTTAACCGTTAGACTGCGATGCGGCGCTTACACGCTTCGATAATTGATCTATGTAATTTAACGTTTAATAATATTCGGCTTATGGAATTTAATATTTCTCAACTAGGAAACTATATTTTCTCGCATTCTTAGGTGTAGTACTGCTCCACCACTGTTTATATTTCAAAAAGCAACGTACAATTTTCAGTTTTAACAAAATAATTTTTTTCTAAACCCATAGCTAGACTTCCAATAATTCCTTCTCCTATAGACGTTCATAATAATAGCACTTCACACATAATTTGAAGTTCCCCAAAGGAGTCTGACGTTTGCGGCATCTAGACATCCGGTCTGCTGCACTCGCGGCATATTTATTAAACGGCGCTCTTTCTAAATATAAACAGAACGGAGAGTGTGTCGTCCCGCGCGGTAAAATGCTGTCATCTGTCGCGTCACCAGATCAAAACGTAAGAGAATATGAAGAAGATTGATTGAGTAATTTCAATTAGTTTGGGAACAAAATTTATTATTTTTCTTGAGTTAAGTAACTCATTTGTTGCGGTGCTTTTGAATTAACTTGTTTTTTAAATAATTAGTAACATTTTTGTAAGTATCAGCATCTAAGTAAAAACCAATATTGGGCTCAAAATGGTTCAAAGAAATAGCATACGTTTCGACTATTTATTTGACTCAAATTCAGTATCATGCATGCAAATAATTTAAATAAATATAGTAATAAACAACAGAAAGCAATTATTGAAACTAACTTTGATAAAGGTTTTGTTAAGACTTGAAACACACCTTACTGCTGCCTTTGCCGTTATCACTTTAAAGATTATTAATTACTACACTTTTAAAAATTGGTGTGCAATTATTAGAAGATGAAAAGAGGGCAATAGACATAGAAATATAAAAAGTTTATTAAAATAATTGAGTAACTAATACGCGCTAGGCTCAAGATCTGCCTAGTATCGCGATTAAATGAATATTATAAATTTAAAAATATAATATAAAAATCATAATACTACCTGGAGGGGATGGCAGTTTACAATTATACACTAATACTACTATAAAAATTTGGGATTCTTTTATAATCCCACAATTTGGTACAATTTCTTAGAACGGTACATGGGTGTAAAGTAATGTCGCATTAATAATAAAAATATAAAAAGCGGCGTATTTACTTAAGCTATGAAAATATATGTAAAAATTATGTTATTTGCACCTGCATCCTATGCTCATTTAAAGTAAATTTCAATGATCAAAAATATTTAAAAATGAATTCTTAATACTAATAATAATAAAATAATTCAAAAGAATCCTTAACAGGTTTTATAAACATTTTTGTAAGCAATTATATTATAATTGATCACCAACAAGTTTATCGTACTATAGCATCAAATAGATACTAAACCTTTAGTATAGTGGCATGAACATCAGTATTATTTATTCTACATGCCTGCAATTATAAAGTTTATGTCTTTTGACAAATTATTATTTGAAACAAAGTATTAAAGCGTCTACAAAACAAAATTCTCTAACTCGACTCGACTCGATTTACAATTAGTGACAATTGTTGCATCTATTGCTAACAAATATTCACAAACCATCGACTTTATACAAAACTATTCTCGGATAGGATTTTTTGTTATGTTACAACGTACTCATCGTAGGGTTTTTGCTTTTGTTTCACTATCTGGCAATTATAAATGTGTCTTAGGAAAAAATCGAGTAGTGATACAGGGTTGAGCAAAACTTAAAAGTCCGCGAGTAAAAAGGTCCATTACCGATATTCCGAAAACTAGTAAAATTAAAAAAATGTAATAACAATATTTGAAAGTAGAGAGTAAAAGATATACAAGAAGCTATCACCTTGATTCTTACGGCGTCGCTATCGCTATTCATTCCAACTTTGAAGACAAATATTTCTGACAAAATATCAGATCAATATTATTTTCAAAAATATCTCTTTTAAAAATGCACCCATAAGAATTTATATTTGAATGAATAATGTAGCTATTATTTAGTTGTTAATTGCTTAGTTAGTTGCCCCCTTGGAAAATAAATGGGAGTAAAAAAGACTAGATTACACATTTTTGAAAACAGCAAAATAATACATTTGTACAATGATGAAGCAGCTTGAAATTCTATTGAATATAGTCGGACAATTGTTCGTTTGATATGTGTTATTTCATAATATAATTGCTCAAAATCAAATTGGACCCTTGCGCCCTGACCCACCCTACACTAAATATACCAAAATTTCAAAATACCATAAACTAAATGTAAATCTATCTATTAAATTCTTTGGATCAAACTCTCGTAACTAAATGTACTAATTTTATTTATTTATTTATTTATTTATTTTACAAGCCGTCGGTACAATAATGTTATGATAAGGCTCAAGTCAATATTTTGCAGATTTATTATAATTTAATTAACTATTACCTATTTTATTACTTATTTATTTATTATTTAATTTATTTACTATGGACTTTTTCATATTCAGTTAATTTTATTTATTTTTTTTATTTATTATTTAATTTATTTACTATAAACTCATTTATATTTAGTTAATTTTAATTATTTTTAAATATAACTAATTTGTTGCAAGTATTTTTTTTAATTTAATAAGTATTTTAATAAGCTTACAATTACAATACTCTTACAATATAATTATTTTATTTATTAATTTTAACAAAATTTTAGG